TAATCCTACACCAGCAAATGCAGATTTTTAGGTCTGGATATTTATCCCTTGGAATGCACTGTAACAGTTACCCAAGACCAGACTAGGAGACAGATTGCAGCAATGAAATGAAAACAGTCACTTGAGTGATAAGCTATTTTGCCAACACAACAAAAGCATCTATTCTTTCACATGTTGATTCCTGAAAAACTTACTCATTTTTCTGGAACCCTTAAAGGTAATGGATAGCCAAAGGAATCAATTAACCAAGTTTTGAGTACAATGTTGTCCACTCATGCTGCAATGATTACTGACACCCACATGAGCAGCGGTATACAACAGTTTCAGAAAACTCCAAGATAATATTGTAAGCTGTAAGCACTTCCATTAATGCAGACCAAGTATGTCAAATTTGGAAGAAAGATTGCTTGGTATGAGGGAAATATCCTATACACTTCCTGTGAAAACCCCTTCAAATCCTAGGAGTTACAAGGCTTGGAAGAACTCAGTTTGAACTGACTGCAGAGATTGATCATAGACTAAGTATTGCCTACACCCAGAAGTATGAACGGGGGAAGAGCTGGTTATTCCCTCAAGATGGGCATATTCCCATCTGGCTGCTGAACTTGTTCACTACAGGGGCAGTGAGAGCTGCCAAAAGGCAGTGGTGACCCTGACCCACTCACATCCCTACTTTCAGGTACTTCAAAACCAGGAAAGATCATGTATGTAAGGGTATGTCAAGTTCCTGCATTTCAGAGATGGCTAATGCTAAAAACTAGTACCTAGCTCAAATGCCTCTCCTAAAATGGCACCCAGTTTTGACCCAATACAGAGTAAAAGGAGGCTGTGTCTGTTTAGATGTAAAATAAAATCAAAACTAAACAAACTCTCAAAAAAAAAAAATACATACACACAGGAAAAAAACCACCAAACCAAAACCAAGAACCCCAGCCCTCCCCCAAAATACCAGTTCTGGTAAGAAATAAACTGCACACAGCATTCTTGTCTTCATTGCTCTGCCCCCCCATACAACCAGTATTCTGTATTTACAGCAAGTTTGTATTAGCATTTATGTTATATTCAAAACTTCTGGGGAAAAAAACTTTATATATACTGGGCTTAGTATAAAAATGTGCTCACTAGAAATGCTACAAACAACAAGCCTTAAGCAATTTCTTTTTGTAGGTTAGTTAACTAACTTAGCAATCCATTTAACAAATACTTTCTTGAGACTGCGTTACACCACTTTCCAATACAAACAGTATCTTCAACCATTCCTATAAAGTCAGGGAGACTGGAGAATTAATTTCATTTCCATTGTTTAGTCATCCACTGTATGCATCTAGAATCAGCCTCTCCATTACCCTTCTTGGACTAAAATCTCACCAATAGCCTGCAGTTCCACCTATCATCATAAGCATGTGTGAAACAAGTAAGTTTGTTTTTCAATACCAACACAGACAGCATTCTTCTAGTGATATGGAATTTCTCTTGCACTTCAACATTTATCAAAAATAAAAAGCTAGTCAGAGATCTCAGCCTAGTTTTCAGAACTCCAATGATACAAAATGTATTTTCAAGCTATTTTTAACATATGTTAACTATTTGCAGACTGAAAATTATTTCACTGTCCTTTAGTAAAATTAATATTTCACTCTGCTTTACCTAGAACACTTATTTATTCCAAACCTTTTCCTTTTTCCACATCGTTATTAAAAGTTCATCCATCTCCAGGTAAAAGTAAGCCAGTAACATTCAGATAATATAAAACATCAAAACTCCAATTTTAAGTAAGTCTTTTATCTGAATGGACATATTTGCTCATGACCCTTATTTTAGAATTTCCTGTACTTCATAATTAGTTGCCATTCATTCCATATAATTTGATTCTGTCTCAACAGTAACACAAGAAATACTTTTATTACCTTCCTCCACAGAGAGTCCTTCTTGGCTTTGTGTTGCTCTTTTTGTTATTGTAGTTGTTTACACTTCCCTTTCCAGTTAGTCACACTTCCCTTTTGCTTTTGAAAATTGCTCTTCCTGAACACTCAAATACGCAACTTCACTGTTTGGAATATCTTTTGGCTCCATTAAATGTTAGAAAATGAATACTGTTCCTACACAACAGAAATTTCTAGATTAATTCATCACTGTAAGCTCCAATCAAATGACCTTGTACTGGACGTAGTACATTTTATGCTAGAAAATTATCATTTGCAATTTTCTGGCTAATTACATTTCATCTTTTCCTGAGTTTCATCTACAGCATAACATATAACAGTGTTTTTTCTTTATATGCTTTTTATAGCCAAGTGCTCAAGGAGCAATCTGCCTCATGCTCCATTTGCAACAGATCCCTATGAGTACTTTCCTTCTGGGTTTGTTAATTAGTAGACTGATATGGACTCAAGAACCTTGTATTAATTAACTTTAATGCAGGTACCAGTACCTTCAGTGTTGCACACTATTTTCCACTTCTTTTAGCCACTCTGTCTTTAAGGAGGCTGTAAGCAACCATTCTGTATTATTATTTTATGAATTGTCCCAGAAGGTTTCAATAATAGCAATTATCTCTCATTTTCCCCCATTAATGAGAATTTCCCATTTATCATGCTTGTCACCACATCTTAAAACTGTTATAAAACCAACTGCAAATCTCGTTTTCAATTCTGTTACAAGTTTAATGAGCTCCTACAACACCAACTTTAGATTTCATGTATCTACCTGCTGGCTCTGTTTGAGCTATCAATTAAGCTTCACCCCAGCTCCAAGAGGCTCCAGGAGGAAGGCTTCCTGACCCACGTCCCTTTGGACAATCTGCCTTCTCCTTCCCATGGGATTTTGTCCCCATGTCCTGCACAAAAAAGTCTGCAGATTTGCTCCATGCAAATCCAAAAAATTCCCCTCCAGTATTTTCTTTTGTCAATCATACTTTTCATTACACCTTTTCCAGCTACTTTTCTGTTTTCAATAGTAGCACTTAAGATACCTGTCAACTTACCTACCATTTGGCTTCACAAGAAGTAGCAAATAGCTTGTTGCTATGTCCCCTACAGATTTCTGCTTTATCCCTCCACAAATCACTCCCACTGTTAGCAGGCTTACTGGAATATATATAAATTACTTTATACTTCCAGTCATGTTGAACATCTTCTCATTTTGGGTTATTTTTTGCTATAAACCACCAGTGCACTCTTCTGGATCCTCCCTACATCTTCTGTGATATGAGCAGGAGCCATTTCCCACACTGACTGTTTAAAAAGACACTGCATGTTTAAGTTTTTCCATCAAAATTTAAAAGAACTTAAAAGAATTCATGAAAAAAAGGGAGACGGTTTTGTGGCTTTTCCTTTTTTGAATTTTTCCTTTTAGCAGATTTTAATGGCAGCAGGTTAGACAGAGCAATGGGACAGGCAAGGTCCTAAATGCAGCTTATACTGAGGGAAATTTTCTACCATTGCTATGAATCACAGCAGAAGTTTACAGTAATGAAAAAAAGAAAAAACTCACACTGGAGGCAACTTTGGCCATTCATCTAAATTTATTAGACAGTTCTGAAGTTCATGACTATACTTTTATGCCTATGAAGGAAACATACTGATACCCTTTATCAACATACTAATGTAATATTTATGAAGATACATCAGTGATCTGAAAAGAAAAATCAGCGATGACTGAGGAAGTTGTCAAAAGAAAACCATTTACTATCTGCCATGTTTTAGTTTTAAGCATGTGATTTTGCTATAGGAGACTAACATAACACATCTGCAGAAGGCATTTGAATTGAGACACCAAGATTACCTAAGTCCTGGGTGATCCATGTAAGAACAATACTGTTAAACAATGATTAACATTTCACAAGGGTTCTCTTTACTTGCTTTGAGTGCAAACCAAGACCCTCAAGCTCTGTTATGCCAAGATGATCGGAACCCCAAATAATTCCTGAACAGGATGAGAACCACTGACATGTGAGCTAATGAGAGCACTTCTACTTAGAAGCAACTTACTATCCCATTTAAGTACTGTACACAAGGCATTTACTGGACTAAAGAATTGTACTAGTTGTTTGCTGACAGCATAGCTTCCCCATACTTTAAGAGGCACAAGGCAGAAAAAGTCTCAAAACCTTTAATGAAAAAAAAGGAAGATATTCTACCCATGACACACCTCCACTCTTAAAAACGGCTTATTGGTTTTGTCTAAAACTGAAAACCAACAATCTAAAACCTACAGTGTGAAACACAACCAGTGAAATTTCTGTCCAAATAGTTATCAATTCTGTAGCTCCAAGGAAGTGAAAGCATAATGTTATTGCCAAAAGACTGGTCACCATCCTGAATCAAAAGTACTATTGGCCTTGTTTAGGGTTGTGATCATTTAGCAGCAACTTCAGACATCAGTACAGAGATTACTGAAGTACAGTGCAACTCCTGGGGAATTGTCTTCTAACCCACTGGATAATACAAATACAAGGAGAACTTTTCAAGATATCTCACATGTTTAAGCAGAGAATGTGGCAGTGTTTAGCAAAACCTGGCATATTTTGAGAAGGCCTGGGATTAAACATTCCTTGTACATGCAGTTGAAACCAAAGTGTGGAACAGCAGTGTTACTCTAGTGGTGCCAGAATCACTACTCCTTTGCTTGAGTGTCAAACTAAAACCCCAGGTTATAAAAACAGCATTTGGCTGCTATTTACATATAAAGATGTACCACCACTCATATACCAGCAGTGATGTTAGGCCAGGCATATATTCTAGTAGGATTTTTGAAGATAATCTGTGATACACCTAAAAGTGAATTTACTATATCATTAAAAAGAAAATTAGTATGGTTCTTTTGGGGAAAGGGGTTTATCTCCTGTTAAATTAAAAACATTTCTGTTAATCAAGTTTTTTTAAAAAGCCTTTTTAATTTAGTGCAGCTTGGGAAAATAGCAAGTTTGTGTGGTTTGAATTTTTTTTTTAAACTATGAAAAGTCTGAGCATTAACTGATCTAGATTGGACTGGGTACTCACTCTGTCGCACAGCTCTTCAAACGTGAAGTCTGCAATGGTTCCACATGCTTTATTCAGCCTCAGCTCTCTGCCTTGCACTTTTAGAATCCTTGGTCTAGTTACTATGGGAACATGAACAAAGACTCAATCTTCTCTGGATAATTACTATAAAATTCATCTCTTACAGATAGGAAATGCATAGCTTCATGAATAATAGCACATGATTCAACACATAAATTAGACAAAATGCTGATACAATGACTGCCACTTGAGTGTGGCATCAACCCATATACAGCAATGGAACTTATTAATTGGTCAGTGGAGATTGGGCATTGTGTTCTAAATGTATTCTCTTTCAAGAGAAATTAACTTACGTACAATCATTTTGTTTCTGAGCCAGCTCATCAAACAACTTATCCATGACAGCCTCCACATCAGCTTCACTTGTGCTACAGTGAAAAGAATAATAGAATATGAAATTAATAACACTTGAAGCCAACATCAAACAGCTGCCTGAGCCTGCTTAGCTTTTTGCCCGTAAAAAAAAAGAGAACAGGATGTTATGCTCTAAATACAAACATTACATTTAGAATACACTTAAAAGTAGAGAATATTAACTCTCAGGTAGATGATTCTGCCTTATTTGCATATACTGAAAGACTTCTGTGTTTTGAGCTGTTTCCAGTAATGAGGCAATACAGGCAGAGCAGATCCATTAACACTATGTGTACACAATGAGAAAAAAGGCTTCTGGCTCTATCTTGCATGCAAAATAAGAGCAAATAGACAAGGCAAGGCAAGGCAGTCAAGCACCTAAAGAAGTAGCCTTTGAAATTTTTGAGAAGGGACTTTGTAAAATTAAATGTTGAAGCAAATTTTTTTTTTGTGAGGGGGAGGGGGGTGCTGTGTCAAGTCAAATGATTGTATTGACCAAACAATTTGCAAAATTAAACTGTGAAATTAAAAATACCACTATGATCTCTGCATTAACAGTATTTGCAGTTTCCCAACCTCTAATACTAATACTGCTTGGGAAAAGATCAACCACAGATGGTGAAATGCAAAATATCTGTGCTGATAGCTGATGTAAAGTTTTCATTCATCTTCTGGGCCACAAGAATTAAAAGATCAGTCCAATAAGAGAATTTTTTTTTAATCACTGAATAGGTTAGAGAACCAACCTTTCCAACATTTCCACATCCAACCTGTATTCTTAAAGATGAATAGATAGATAGATAGATAGATAGATAGATAGAAGAATAGTAAATTAATGTTATGGAAGACAACTAGAACTAGGATATATAATGTTTCACTGAAGTTTGTGTAAACTCTTTTGGTGTGAAGTCTTATCTTATAGATCTTGATGCACTGAAGTCACACTGCTTCACACAGTTCTAGGTATCCTCTTAACTGACAAATGAATATCAGCTTGTTAAACAAATACTCTCCTGCTCATTAGGGCTTAAACACCTTAAAAATGTTAACAGCAAAACTGAAGTAACTACTTTTTAGCTAAAGCTTAACGATGACTACCTTGTAGACACAAAGAATTTGGGAAAAAAAATCTGAAAATCCACTAACTTATAAAAGTGCCATTTTGAAGACTTTAAACACCTTTTCTGACTAGGAGGTTACATAAAATTCTAGAAATTTCTCTAAACATTGATATTGGTGTGATGCATTCCTCTGACAAAATAATAAATGAAAAAGAACAGACAACACCAGACAGAAAAACATAAAAGGGGGTAAAGAGTGTGTGCATGTGAGTACAAATACATATCAATCTACATCTCTGTTTCTAGCTCAGACAGTATGTGCCTGTGCATGCCTATCAGTAACAGAAATTTCAATTGAAAGGCTACCAGAAGAAACAGGTGAATATGATCCTAACGTGGATATTTTACCTTATTGCCAGGAAAGTTTGTTTTGAAAAGACACCTGAGACTGAGATTAATGAAGTTGCTTTGATCAAGCAATCATGTTACATTGATTGCTCTCAGATGAGTATAAAACAGCTTTATGTAACCCTCAGTTACATATTTTAAATCAAGACAGGACTACACAACACATGAAGCATCAAGAGGATTCTTAAAAAACTGATGGCAATGATACTATTGCCATTAATAGAAGAACATATACATGTTGAACAAGAACACTTTCTTTGGGGACAAGAACTGCTGATTAAATTTCAGAAATCTGTAGCAAAATGCTTTACAGTACCTAATTTTAAAACAAAACTAACAAAAGGAATCCCCACATACTAAGCTAGTTCTACAGGGTTGAAAGCTCCAATGAACCGGTTTGCATAGAAGAATGAATGAGATTCCCTCAGAAGAAAGGACAAAGAAATAAGTACCTAATTCCATTGGCAGCTATGGAGGTTTTTTAATATTTTTTTCCCCTCACTGCTTTCTGGTGATTCACACATCAAATTCTGAAGGCAACCAATATCTTTCCAGTAAGAGAACATATGAGAATTTTTGCCAATCTCTGCCATTCACTTGATCACAAGTTTTAAAGAACACAATGAAATATTTTGGCTGGACACTACTCCTGGAACTCGTTTGTACTGCATATCCTCTGAGAGCTGATGCCACAGGCACCATGTTTGGCCTATTACCTGCTAGAAACCACAAACATCCTTTTCCTTTCTTCAGAGTATGAAGAGTGAGAAAAGAAAGTGGCAGGTGCTCTCCACAAGTGTCCAACAGAACACACAGAGTGCAGCAGGCACAGGAAGCAGCACCCACAGGCAGGAACAGCAGCACTCAGAATGAGGACCATGATGAGCAACACCCAGGTGTCAGTGGTGGCTTCAAAAAGTACTTCTGAGCAGACATGACAAAGCACAGAGCAAGTGAAGCCAGGCAAGAATATAGAACAAGAGCTGCTTTTCTCAAGTTCATAAAGCCACAGTTGAAGAATACAGAACATGCATTGGACCTGTTTTCCGTATATGAAATTCTGTCACTTCCTTTCAAAAGCAGGAAGAATTGCCAGTTGTAGTTCTACCAAGCAGTATTCCTCCTTCCACACAAACAACTCTGCTTTGTTCAGGTTGTCACTGATTAAATAATATTACAAGAGAAAATACAAGAGAGAAAAGTGTTTGCATTGCAAAGCTTTCAAAGTATTAAAGAGGATGCTCCTATTAGGCAGTTCTCTGCTGCAACCAGAAACACAACCGTGAATATATTTTAAAATATATTTATTTGCAAATATAAAGTGCTAAAGAAATTTTGTCATGATAAACAGAAACAATCTGTCAAACAGAAGGGTGCTGGGTTTTTTAATCCACAACATTGGAAACACCCAAAATTAAATGAATTCTTGTCATTGGATTTCTATAAATACTTAATTACTTAAATACAATAAGGATGTTCTTCTATTATAAGAGAACTGTGCAATCTCTTACAAGAGGATATTCATTACTTTCTAACCATCTGTCACTTCAGTTCTCCAAACACCACACCTCCCCAAAAAATCTAATTAGTTTTTATTCAGTCACACATTATAAATGATGCTAGTGTGGATACCGAAAATGTAGTTTAATGAAGTTAATATCAAAGCATAATGGAAGGCTGTTTGCTGAACAAAATGGACCAGAAGGCAAAGAAATGAAAAGTCACACCCTGCTAATTCTTCTATACATTTTTCATTTCCTATTGAATAGAAAATTATTGGCTAATAAGAAGGAAAAAGAGAGCAAACACAATATCATAGATAAACTCACAGGTAGTAAAGTTTTCCAGCAGCTGGAAGCACTCGTTTCCTGTAGTCTATTCCAGAATCAAGCTGGACTGTGCTGCAGTATTTCTAGAGACCAAAACAAAGAAAAAAAAAAAAAAAGAAAAAGAAAAAAGAAATTAGCTTTCCTTGAGTCAAAGCTGTATCTACTATTGTCTGTGATAAACCATCAGCATGAATATCATATGCAAAACTAAAATTCAAGATCTAAAAGCTGAAGTCTCAGTCGCAATTTCTGAAGCGAAGAAATAAGCTGAAAGTCACTCACATGTAAAACAAAAAGGTCTATTGCAAGTCCATCAACTAAAAAATTAATATAGACTAATATTCACATGGGATGAAATAAGGGTGGGTATTATTCCTCTCTAGGCACTGCTTAGTTGCAAAAATAATTATTTTTACATTAAAATATATACATTTTGAAATACAAAATTAGAAGCACTAAAAGTTTAACGGAACACAAATTCTAGCAACAAATGAAAATACTTCTATTTTATAAGCTAAAATTAATTTAATCTTTCTCCTTCTACTAAGTAGAGTAAATATTTTATAACACAAAGAACAAATATATGAACCACACCAAATTTTGCTGTAAATGGAAAAAAGTGAATAAACAAAGCTCTGTAGCTAAAAGATTTTATTTCATTTTTGCAGTGTCTGAATTAACTCAGAAAAAGATCTTTTTTGCTCACCTTTAAACAGCCTGTAAGATTCTAAGTGTGATACAGATGTCCCTGAGTAGTTACAAGAATTGCTTCTTAAAAAACTTAAACCCAGCTGTACTAAAGGGTGCTTTTTGATTCAAGGCCTGAGGCTGAGAGCAAAATTCTCACTAGTATCAATAAGATCAAGATTTTACACCGCCCTCACCCCCACAAAGGGAATAGCTCTGCTTATCTGTCATGACTACTTCCAACACACACGACTTGTGGGTGTTAATAAAGCAAAACGCAAAAGAAGCTATCGAAGAAAGAGAGGAAAAGTTTTAGTATTTTAGAAAATATAGCTCTATTAACAATTTAATTAAAGTAATGAAACTTTTTTTTTCTTTTAATGTAATTGAACACCAGTAAAATTCTTCCATTTGCTAGAATCCACTAAATCAGTCTGCTTCTTCGCTGCACCACTGGTTGCAAACTATTGGTTTAATATTCTTGTTAAGCGTTTCATATTCTGCATGTTGGAATTTTTCAAAGCCTCCTTGAGGCCATTCAAATAACAAAATTGGAAATGTCAAACCTCATTCATAGCAACTACATTGCATTTGGAAGAACTATCATCAGTGATTTAAGGAACAATGTCCCTTTTGAACAAATGCATTGCATAGGACACAGATCACAAATATCTGCAGGAATTACTGAGATGACTCACTGCACTAATTTTTTGCCCTTAGCTATGAGTGAAGGCTCTGTACCTACTTTAAACCTCCAACTTCTCTGCAAAGAGATACAGCTGAAGAAAGAAGGCAAAAAAAAAAAATCATCCTGAAAGCACAGAATCCCAGGAAAATCTATGTATCTTTAATTCCAGTAAGTGAAAAAGCCATGCTAATCAAATCATTATCTTGGACTAAGGCTACTGCAAACACAATAGCATTGGTGCTACAATATTATTATAATCTATTCCCTTTCTTTTTGTGGGAGCTCACAAAGAAAGAGAATAACAGAGCAGAAGAAAAAAGTTCACAGGCATGTAATAATATGCACAGGGGAGGGAGGATGTTTAAGCTTTTCTTCAGCATCAGTCTGGCAGCCAAGGCCAGAAGGAAGATTACTGAAATTTCACAGCAAAGCTAGTTCACTTAGCTTTTATTTGCCAGCATCTTTCCACCTAATTCCACCTTATTTTTCCAAAGGAGTAGATTAACTTAAGTACTTTTTTCTTTATGTTAGTAGGGGGAAAACCCTACAGAATACTACTAAAGCTTTGAGGATTATGAAATTACTTAGATTAACTTTAGATACTTGCATATTTAGTAATGCCATTAATCATTATGGTTTGTTTTTTCCTGAAAACAAGAGATGGGAGTTTTACATGAATTCAGCCTCATCTCTTTGGCCTTCAAGTTAGATTTATAAACTCTACTGCTCCCTCAGGGTGTTGTGTTGCACATAGTGAAAAGTGAACACAGACGCACATATACTTGAGAGTATTCCATGGTTATGGTAGGGCTGAAAGAAAAAAAGCACACCTGAACACTGTAGCTGGTGTAAATTTGTTCCCTGATATTTACAATGGTGCTGCAGACTCAGCTGCTAATGACCAGATTACACATCCTTCACACTCAGATACAGACCTGTAGTGAGCTATACTATGCAGGTCAGTGCAGCTTGATGAAACAGAAATGGGTGCCCGGTGCTACATTGTTTTAGTCCACTTGTGTTCCACACACAAACTTGTCACTCCTTAAGTGCACCAACAGCTTTTATGACTCCATGACTTAACATTACACTGAATGAGTTTTGGTGGTAAGAACCATGGAATTGAAGATGTAAATACTATGAATACAGCCGAAGAGAAGATGCCTCTTTTTTTGTCTTCTTTCTCTTTTCTCTGTCTTTGAATAGTATTATCACTCTTCAGAAAAAAACACTATCATTAGTGACTCTAAGTTAAAAAGAACTAGTGTGTTCAAAAAAATTATTTTGTTTTCATCCCTTTTAAGCTACAAACATTGCCTAATAGAAATATTTCCGTCCCTATAAGTTTTGCTTGTGTGTCTGTAATGATGTACTATTTTTGCTTCTAATTCAATACAACATGATACAGTTTATTTAAAAAAAACCTGTTAGGTGTAAGGCCTTTCAGCCAAAAATGCAATAGCAGAATCCTGTTCAGAGATCTATAAACTACAGTTAATATAGTCCTAGTGATTTTTTGCTTCCTTAGGAGGCAAAAGTCAACTGAACCAAATATAAACAAAAAGAAAAAACAGAATTGTGATGTACAGCAGTTTTCTGTAATACATAGTGCAAGCATAAAAACAGGGGACAGCTAACAAGAGCTGAGAAATACTTAGTACTTTAAAAAATATTTGGCATTTTACTCCTTGGAAGTTTCTAATTAATTGACATGTTTGGCCTCTCCAGACTGATGGACAGCTCAGGAAGGTGCTCTGGCCATTTAGAGGTCATATTCGAAATACAACTAGAACAGCCACAGGAATTTCCTAACCCTTCTACAGGTTCAGGTGTCTATCCATGCTCAATGCTAATTATTTTCACTGAGACTCTTCAAAGCTCACCCACAACTATTGTGTTAAGACAATCTATGAATATACATAAAATGAATGGCTCCTCCCATTAAACTCAAACATCGTAATCTGAATCACAACATGCTCTCTGAAAACAGCCCTTTAAGACATGATTCCTGCAGTTAGATTTTAAGATTTGCAGGGTAGGAACAACCTTTCCTTATGTACATATATGATGAGTACAGATCTATAGGTGTTAATGAAAAATAACAGCAAAACAACCCCCAAACCACCAAACAGAGGTGGGAAATGTTATTTACACAAACTGAGCCCTGCACAGTAGAGGAGAGAAAAGGCAGCAGCAGCGAACGGAAGGGCAGTAGTAGGAGGATTGCTTTCACTGCCAGACAATAACACCATCTCTTCTCCAAATGTACCCCTGGAGATAGTTCTAAAGGGAGGTGCACACATGGTCACCCTTACTCAGTCAGAAAGGTCACAAAGAAGTTATGTGCTGAGTAAAGATCCAAGTTTTCCTTTTGGGGTTTCCTTTGCCAACAAGGGTACCCATCACAGTTCTTTGTTTCTGCACACATAAACATTCACTTATCTGTTTCACAGGAAGGCAGAAGGAATAATATTCAAAATTTTTTTTTGAGATACATGTTTTAAATGTTTAAAAGACAGCACATAATCAGAATATATAACAAAAGAAAATAAAGCACACTAAAATAATGTAACTATATAATAATATTATAATATAAATACAATAATATATTATATATAGCAATATATAATAATAATATAATAAGGTAATAATATAAATGTCCAAGATAAACACTTAAAATACTGCATATGTGAGTATCACAATGCATCTTGACTGCCCTTCACAGGTATCAGCAACATTATTCTCCTCCATTAAGGTTTGAAAAAATCAACATTATAATTCAAAAATCCTAGAAGTTTGGAGAGGGGTAATGAGATAGGCTTCTCTACTTTTTACCCTTCAGCTTCTTATAGCATAAGAAGATCATATACAGAAGTTCTACTCTCTCCATCTTTGGACTTCCTCATCCAGCACGGGACTGATTAAACCCTACGGATGTGATTGCATTCTCACACTCACTAATCACCATGAAATCCTAATCAACAGTCAAGGAACTAATTGGAGTGCTCAGGTTGTTAGCACTTAATTGCCAAACCCATAACTGCAACAATTCGTTTCCATTTCTTAAGATGGAGTTTTAAATTTTCAAATTTCATTTTGGGCTAAAATTCTTTTGAAATAAATACTTAATAACGAAGCTACAGTCAGTCTAGTAGAACCATCCGCAGCTTCCAACAGATTTTTTGTTCCACTGAGATATTTAAAGTCTGACTTACCCTATTCAATTCAAATGCATAAAATTAATTAGTTATACAATTTATTTTGAAGTCATTTATGTATTTATGTATACAAAGAGCAAATACAATTACAGAATTGAAAATGCAATTAGTAAGTTAAAAATGCAGTGTAAGCATGCAGTCATTTCCACTGAGTGTCACAAAAACTATTCCAGAAGGAAAAAAAAAAAGTTTCATGGCTCAACTCAAGATACAACACTTAAGACAACCATCTTTAGATAGAATAGATAAAATCAGACTGTCAACAGACGTACTTTAGAAAAGTTACTAAATACAGACTAACAAATACATTTTTTTCCAGTAAGCGCCTCTGATATTCCTTTATTCCTGCAAAGAGAGTAGCTATTAAAATGTTTAACTGCTCAAGAAATTAAAGCACACAACAGATCAGGACAGATTATTATGAAGAAAGAAAGTTCAGAAAATTCCAAAAGGTAGTCCAAGTTAGATGGACAACCTGCAAATTCTCAAG